CATCACTCGTTTTAATTATTAGTTACGTTAATATTATTTTCAAAAACAAAATTCAGCATAATCAATTGTGTGTTAAAGGCAAATTCCCAGTGTTAGCATTTAGGTTTTAACGTAATCCAATTTTAGGCTTTAACTAGGAAGTATTAACTGAAAACGTTTTATACTTTATTTAATACAATAATCTTTCTTCAGAACGCTACATAATATTTTGATACTCTCTCCTTCGAGTCGATAAATATTGTTGACAAAAATAATAAACTTGATAGCAGGTTGTTTATATGTTAGTTTAATTGTATATTGAAAAGAAGCTTACGACTCTAGAAAGCGGTAAAGATTTTTCCGAAATTACTGAACGTTTTGTAAATTTTACATAAATATTGACTTTTCTGTGTGATAGAGATCTATCATTTCTTTCCGAATATTTAATTTCAGTGGCCGATTTTACAGTATGAGGGAAAAGTTGCATTTAATAATGCTGTACTTAACTATATGTGCCTTGATATTTTAAAACTACTTCTTGTTATTTGATTTATATCTAGAATAGAAAGTTACTTTAAGTACCGGTATATTCTGAAAGATATGATCCTTTTTAAATAAGTAACAACTAGAGCAGTGCCATAGTGAAAGTTTTCTATTGTTTATATTCCACATTTTTGCAAATGTAAAGATGCTTATTCTAAACGAGAACTTTTATAAGATATGTAAATATCCTTTACACTTAAAATTTTCAATAATATGATCTTTACGTATCATCAAAGAATGAACAAATATCATATAATTCTAACAACACCTACATTCAGTAGGTACAAACTTAAAAAGTGTGGACTTTCTTTACCACAAATCCCCTTATATACTTTTCTACACCCAATTATTTTCAATAACATTTATCAAACTTTCGTCCCGGTAGCTTTTGATAAAAGGCCAGTGTTTATGACGAAGGTGCACCAGTCAGAAAATGAAGTCATATTCCCGTTAGAGTGTTATTGTGGCATAAAGGCAACAAGTGTGCCAAATTATAGGAAGTTCAGGTTTTAGTCAACTAAATATTCTGCGGTTCTTGAACTTAAACATGAACAGATGTGCCCTATTTCAGATTGTCAATTACCGTCTTAATTTACTGAAATACCATTTTACAAGATATTTTATTTCATATGAACTTGTATACATATATACAGAGAGCCGTTGTTCAGAGGGCTGCACTTTCAATCTCACTAAAGTTCAGATCTATTTATTTCTTACATGTAGATCTGATAACCACCATATATGTTTCGCCTTCATTATGATTCGGATTTCCCGAGAAAGCTTTTTATAGTCACGCAATCAAATCGGTTTTCACAGATAGGCATTAGACGAAATACCTAAAATTTCGTTGTTCTTGGAAGTTAAACAAAGTGTTGATTTTGCTAGAAAAAAATGGTTGAAGTCATTTGAAACAAGTAAACTGGAAATAATAGACTCAATTTTTAATGGACAAGATTGTATTGCCAGTTTACCTGCCGGATATATTGACAACGCCTTGTTTGTTCTCGAAGAGAGACAGACTTTCAATAGCGCTTGGGTTCAAACCCCAGAAGATGCAATATTTTATTTCAATTTTTCTTCTTTTAGTTTTGTCAGATTATTATTTTCTTTCTTAAATTATTTCTAAAATTTGTTGTTTTTTTTAATCAAGTTTTATGAACAGAACAAAACAGAACGTTTATTTTGACGTATACAAAGCACATAGTCAATTACATAATACATTCATACATACATATATACAATCACAAAATCAATGGATAGTCTGCAAATTTCTTGAAGGTGAACAGTTTAATCTATTTTGTTTCCTTCAGTATAGGATTTGACATAATCAGTTTAACATATATTACATTGTTTAATATTGAGTTACGAACATGTTGACAAAGATAGCGTGAATTTCACATACATTATTGTGTCACTTGCAATAAAGTTATCTATACATACGTAATAAACACCGATATCTAACTATATATACTATATTAGATTTCTCAAGGGAGCTAATTAATGTAGTCTTGTCCATATTGTATATTACGAGTTATGTAACGTATTACATCTATGGTAAGGTTACACTTCTGTATCAGTAGTACATGTAGTATAGCGTAATATTTCGATTTAATTAAATTACCAACTATAGTATCACACTATACTATACTATACTATATTGAAAGGGAATAGAACTCCAAAACTACAGTTAACCTTAAACGAAAAGAGAGAAGGTTAACAATTGGCTTTTCCAAAAAATATTTCGATTGCAAAGTTGTAATTTAAGAAAAAGCCTTACGACTAACTTGGGTCATAAGACAATATAATATACTTAATACAATTCTTAACTGAGCACAGGAGTAATATTTCCATTTTTACAAACATATATAATATTATAGTAGTATCGTACCGAATGTGTAACTAGCAATAAAGTTGTCTATACATACGTTAATAGACACCTATAGAACTTTATTCCCTATTGGTACGCGTTTAATTTTTGAGGCATGGAGGAGCACGTGAGCTGTTTTCGGTACATGGAGGAGCATGTGATCTGTAAACCGTATATGATTGGTTAATTGACCTATTCGAAAACCTAGCTAAATACCGTTTCCCGGTTCGTTACGGATTTACCTCTAGGGAATCATTGTAGGACTCGGCCCGGTGAATTTTCGTACTATTAGTTCTATAGTAAATCAGTCAAATTTGAGGTTTAATTCTGGATTCCAATGTTCTTGATGAATTATATACTGTCTTCAACTTTAAACATTAACACTATCTAAGTCAAATGATGCCCAAAATATAATAGGTTAGCCATCTACTTTTTTCAGAAATCTTCATTCTGTTGTAACACTGTTTAAATTCACCACTTTAAAAACTCCTGACAGCTGGTGGGTAGTACATCTTTAATCCTTCCACCAACAAATGAGTTCCTGGAGAATACACAAAAAACAACTTTTAAAGTCATCATATAACACACAAAAACTACACACATGCAATAAATACACTTTAATTATGAACAATCTAACTAGAGATGACTTAAATTGGGCCATTTCATAATTTTAAAGAACTACTTTCTAGACTACAATGGGCTGGGTCTAATTCCGTACCGGGTTGAGACCATGGACTCGGCCCGGTGAATTTTCGTACTATTAGTTCTATAGTAAATCAGTCAAATTTGAGGTTTAATTCTGGATTCCAATGTTCTTGATGAATTATATACTGTCTTCAACTTTAAACATTAACACTATCTAAGTCAAATGATGCCCAAAATATAATAGGTTAGCCATCTACTTTTTTCAGAAATCTTCATTCTGTTGTAACACTGTTTAAATTCACCACTTTAAAAACTCCTGACAGCTGGTGGGTAGTACATCTTTAATCCTTCCACCAACAAATGAGTTCCTGGAGAATACACAAAAAACAACTTTTAAAGTCATCATATAACACACAAAAACTACACACATGCAATAAATACACTTTAATTATGAACAATCTAACTAGAGATGACTTAAATTGGGCCATTTCATAATTTTAAAGAACTACTTTCTAGACTACAATGGGCTGGGTCTAATTCCGTACCGGGTTGAGACCTGTATACACACCGGTCTCTCAAATGACCGGTGTACACAATGCTAGGGAATTAGTCCGAATTACACCTAATTAAGAACCTAACACTATTACGTGATATTTCTAATTTTCTATTATTATTTTACCGTTTAAGGTGGAAAAACTTGCATGATGTGTTTGAAAATTATAATTGTTTCTTTAATATCTATCTGAAATTTTACAGACAATAAATTGTTTATAGTGAAAATCCACAGAATTGAAACATACGTTTGTGGCATCTGCCATAATAGATAGAGATATTTTCTGCGTAAACTTGACTGTGTGTTTACTTTATTTTATTTTATTATTTTTTGCACCGAATTATTCATACAATGGTATTTAATCATTTTCTTAAACAGAAATATTGTTTTATTTTCGACCAAGACCAAAGACCTTCTTCTATTGATCGATTATTGTCAACTATATTCCTGATACAAACGTTTTTTTTCCCCAAACCATGTTGAAAATAGTTCAATGAAATATCTTTAAATCTTTATAAATGTTCCCCGCAGGAAACCATTTTACTTGTATAATATGTTAGATTTCGCACGGGAGTTAATTAATGTGGTTTTGTCCATATTGTATATTTCGAGTTATAAAACGCTCATTGCACTATATTCAACAATGTTTTGGCTAATTATAAGATATTTTTTTATTATCTTAACTAAATATAACTAATAATCTATTTAATTAGAACTGTACAGTTGACCAGAAACATCCATATAAAGTTTGCTATCTTTTCAACAATGTTTGGCTTAATTATAATATATTTTCATAACTAAATATAACTAATCATCTATTAAATTAGAACTGTACGGTTGACCAGAAACATCCATATCAAACACTATCAGGCTTATAATAAATAACATCTTATTTACAACATCAAACTATAAACATACATATATACAAACTAACACAGTCTGGTTGACCAAAGCAACCATATAAACACTAACAGGCATATAATAAATCGCACGTTCAATATTTCAAGACAATTTTACACTAATCCGTAATATAAATAGTCGAATTTCTTATAGACATTGCGTTTTTACAGTATAACCCTAATTTATATAGAGCAGACTTATTTTCTGTTTGTAACAATTCTAAAAACTTATACATGTATACACTTGGTTTGATATAATAATATTTTGCTATAATTTTTTTACGTAAATCTGAATAGATAGTGCATATAATAACAAATGTATACTATTAACTGTAAAATATGTAAAATGTGATAGCAAAACAAATTAATAATAGTTTCTAGATAATTATTATTAAACATATTTTGATGCCCGATTACATTGTACAAAATCTAACGGGATTTTTTCACTCCATCCTCTTCTTATTTGATGTAATCTTATAAATCTTATACTTTTATGTTATTAACTGTCAGTCAATTAATATGAAACACGAAATCCAGTGAAAGAAGAAAGAAAGAACATGTGGTCTATTCCACGGCAATTTGATAGATTAACAATATCTCCTGCTTTTAAATGATAAACAATTGATCCTGATCCTGACTGATATCCATCATTGACACCAGTACCACCAATGTACACTGTTAACTTGCCAATGCCGTTGACAAAAAAACCACATCCGCTTACACGAACACTCGGTTTTCTGATAAGAGTTGCTGTGAAGAAGTAGAGTCCTGGATGTCTACAAGTGAACACACCTGAGGACACATTATAGTCGTCGCCTGAATTGTATATTACGTTACTGAACTTAAGGCGAGAACCGGAGGACGTATCTGGGTATGATACTGCAAATCCAACCGACACGTCTGAAAAATGATATTGAAAAATCTTAACAAGTCATTTTAACACAATTTTATTGTTGTTGTTATTGTTGTTGTTTCTTCTTCTTCTTTTTTTAAATGTATTAAAGTTCACCCTTATGTTCCCAAAATAATGTCTGCCATACAAGATCAAAAAATCTGATAATTACCTCTTTCCTTTGTATTAAAGTGCAACCGTGCTAGTTATATATCCGCTGATAAAGAGTTAACGGTTTACAAAAGTAATAAAATATCAATGTAGTGAGCCTGTCCTGGTTCCAAAAGTATTTAATCAAATGATGTGTGAAGTTGGCGGCCTAGCGGCTCAACGGCCAAGCGGCGTGAAGTTGGCGGCACAGAGGCCTAGCGCTGTGAAGTTTGCGGCCTAGCGGTCCAGCGGCCGAAGTTGAATGTTGTAGAAATGTTTTATAAAGAAGAAAACGGCCCTTTAATTGATACATATAAAGAGCAGTGTACTTACTTGTTTCATTTAATCTGTTCGTATTATGGGGAACTTCTGCCTGCATCTGTCCCTGTGCGTGTTCAATCTTATCAATTTTTTGGCTTAGAGTTGTCACCAGTTTCTGCAGATCCGCTGATAAAGAGTAAACGGTTTACAAAAATAATAAAAAGCAATGTAGTTAACCTGTTCTGGTTTCAAAAGTATCTAATTTAAGCGTTTTATCATAAAGTCTACATTAGTTGAGTTAACAGAAATACCGGATAAAGCTAGTTGAGAATATTTCAAAATAATGTATCAATTTATATTTAACTTCGGAATACTTCGGGTATTATTCATAATTTAAGCTTATCCAGAGACTGACGGAAATTGTCGATATGTTTCTTTTGTTCGCAGATACAATTCGACCCATCAGAAGTTCTTACTTTTGAAAAATTTCAACAAATCACCAGATACAAAAAGACATCTTGCATGTTTCTTTTTAAAGACGCAAACTTGTTATGCTCATTATCAGTAGTATGTCGTTCTACCAACGTCGTTACATTACTTTCCCCTGCCGAATCGACATGGGAAATCATTTGGTACGGCAACTCCAGTCCGGAAGTTGTCTACATCATCTCAGCGCTACAACCAAAAGTATTTGTTAAAGGCCAACAAACCATGTCTGTTAAAACCTAGCTAACCACCAACATTGGTTTGTATCTTTATATATTGAAATCGTTTCCTTATGTAAATTTACCAACTTTAGTTTTTGCATATTATTATGCTCATTATCAGTATAATGACGTTCTACCAATGTCGTTACAAAGGTAAAAAAATGTATGCAAAATAGTATTTTGACTTCCATACAAAATACTAATTCTACAAATTGCCAATTGAGCAAAAGTTGCAGGTACGAGTTCATGAATATGGCTATTCAATTTTTTTAAAATAAACTGTGATAACTTACAAAAAAGTTTTTGTAAAAAAAAATTTATAGCGTTTCTGAGGCATAGTGTTCCTTTAAGTATTTATATAAAACATATAACGTATGAATATGACGGCAGGATTTTTTTTACAAGTTCGACATGATGATGACGATGATGATAATGACGATGATGACGATGATGATGATAATGATAATGACGATGATTGACCTATGATAAATGCACAATGTTGATACTGCTCAATTAGTATTTGTTATATATGTTACAAGAAAGCATGTGCCAAAATATATATTTCATATTTTTAAATCATCAGAAGTATGGGACGCTTCATCCGTCAAAATAGAGCATCGTGAGCTATATCCATTGCAATTCTGGCCAGGTGCCGAAGAATAAAGCTCTCTGGAACCATTTAATTTATTGGTTGAGACCTTCATGTGGTGTAACATAGCTTATGTAATTCGATTTCTTGACCTTTTATATTGATTCAACGTCAATGTAATTATCAATTTATTTATCATATTCACACAATTAAATAAACATTTTTACATACAGAAAAGATTGTTTAAGGCGACTTACCAGAGCACTCTCTATTTTGACACTGAACTGTTTCTGTACCATTACCGTTACAGCCAAAGCCATTATCTATCGGCGAAACGCTTGTGCATGTTCGCATCCTCCATTTGAATCCTTGTCCACATTTGGCGTTACAAGGCGACCAATCAGACCAGTTTGTCCAAAATACCAGTTACCGTTGCCCCTACAATATAATATAAATAATAATAAAGGGACTTTATTTTAAAGAGGCAACATAGTTATGCATGCCCAGTTCTTCCCTATGAGCCTCTATCAAATATACAATATACATAGAATGAACATTTACAACAAAAGGTATGATCAACAACAACAGAAATATCATTGTTTAAAAATAGTTAAGAAACATATAATGAATGTCTAGAGGGAAAAAAAATGAAAAAATGACATTCAAAAGGCATTACATAGACAATGAAAGTAAAATATACATTTCTCATTTTATTATACAACCCATGTGATAGTTTTTTCCAACCAGAGAACACCATTTCAGATAATTATTTTTGAAATGACTTTAAATTTGTAGAGTTTCTTATATCTTTAAGGGAAGATAATTCCAAAGTTTTGAGCCAGAATATGATAAAGATTTTCTGCAGAACTTAAGTCTAGGTTTCGGGATTTGAAGTAGTTTTTGTTCATATGATCTCTTAAATGTGTGTTTTCTGGTGTAAGTAAAAGGTTTTTGCTATATATTCAGGGAGGACTTGTATACTAAGATAGCTTTTTTTATAATTAACTCTTTCAGAAAATTTCATACAGTTTAATTCAGAAAATAAATCATCAGTGGGGGCATCAAAATCTTTGTCTAATATTTATTCGCGCTGCCCGTTTCTGAAATTTTAATACAAAAGTCATTTAAGAAGTTCCTTACTGCAATTTCCCCAAATAGTGCAACAATAAGTCTAAATGGGGAAGAATGTAATGCATTAAAGGGAAAATTTTTCCTTACATGAACATTTAGAAAATTGTTTTATTTCTCAAAGGCAGGTATAGTAATTGAATGTGCATTTATTAAGTGTCATTTGGGAACTTTTGGCGTTTTCCAGTTCAGTGTATGATCAACCCATGGGACCCTAAAAAATTTCCCTGTTTCTGAAAATTTAAGCTTTTCATCTTTGGAAGAGTGATCTGGAAATCACTAGAATAACTTGAATTAGTATTGTAGATAATTATTTGAAGGTGAAAAAACATAGCTTTAGTTTTATTAGAATTTGGAATCATTTGAATTCCTGTTGAACCACTTTGTTTTTAAATTTATGTCAGACTGAAGTTTTGTACAAATTGAACTGATACTGTGTCCAAATAAGGTAATTGTAGTGTCTCAGCAAAATACTTACAGAATGTGATAAATGGCAAGGGAATCATTAATGTAGATAAAAAAGGAGAGGACCTAAAACTGAACCTTGGGAAGCCACCCGGATTTTATAGTCCGGAGCTTCCCGAATGTTTTCCCAGACACCGCCTACTGGTTTTTTTTTTCAATTATAGGTTATATTTGAATCAAATCCAAATTTGCTTTTGTTAAGTTCCCAGAAATTATAGTTCCCTATAAGTTTTTCTTTCATTTATTGCTTCGCTGATCCAGCTGGTCAATAATTAAATAAGAGAGTTTCGCAAAGTTAATCAATCACTTTTTGCTTGACGGAACATAAAATTATCGTTGTTTCTTAAAAAGGAATTAACTGGTCTCTTGAGGCGCCTCCAATGGGTTCGAGTGGTTAAGATTGCGACCTTCAAATCAATTGCCCCGTTCCGCTGGCTCATTTTTCGTGAATTAGTTTGTTTTAAATGCCTTTTTAATTATCTTTTAACTTTTTAACAGATAAACATTAAATGAAATAGAATAAAGCAAAAAACTCTCAAGCAAAAAACCTTTATTCTGAGTTTCAAAAAACGGATATACAATAGCAGCGTTCCGGTTTCATTTCCGCAACACCTTTTGTAAAATTGAGTAAAGTGATTAAAATTATTGGGGTCCCAATTTTAAACAATAACACAAAAAAAATACTATTAGTTCGTACTTGATATTTTTCCGGAATTTCTTTATTATTAATAGCCATAATACCAAAAACAAAAAAGTAAAGATTATGTTCTTATTTGTTTAAAAAATTGGAGGATATTTTGGTTTAGTTTCGGTGTAAGATACGGAAAATATATTTCAACCGAGTGAAGCACCAAAAGGTAATGTATTAGTAAATATATGGAACTTTTGGTGTTAAACAAGGTGAAATATATTTCGAATCTTTACCCACTAAACTAAACAAATTTTCTTTTTTTATTTATATGCAAAGAATTTTTTTTAAAAAAGACATTAAAAACCTAATAACTGAAATGAAAAGCGCGCCAAACTAATAATACAATCTTGACGTCAATGAACGAGTCAAACGTCCATTAAGTTTGGTTTGCCCAGTTTGGCACGTCTCTCGCAATCGCTTGGTATTTCACTGAAACGACGGTGAGGGGCTTAAAATTCAAACAGGTGAAATTTATCCAAAGTGGTACATTTCACTGTTTCAAACAGCTGAAATTAAACCAGTTTTTATATCACTGATATATTTCTATAAAACCACCGAAAAGCATGTAATTCAATAAAGTCTGTTATCATCCAAACAGACTTGCCAGCAAGCTCGATAAAGAAAAAACTTTAGTACCTGACCTTTACTATTTGAAGCCTTTGAAACGGTTTTGGTACTCATTTTAAAGAAACAGATACTTGAAATAATCAACAACCAGTCCAATTTTAAAATTGAATTTAAGGAGGGTACACCTAGTGCACCTTCTTGGTTGAAGGTGTAGTTTTTATCTGCAAGCTCCCCTGTACCATGTTGAAGAGTATCGTAAATTCTGCCTTTTGGCTCAGTCTATTAAATTCTCCCCGACGCAAGCTCAAGTATAATTTTCTTTTTCTGTGTCTGATTCCCGTAACGCTTGTTTAACTCCATAACTACCATTTTCAATATTAAAACAATTCCCCTGTTTTTTAATCAATAATAACCAAATTAAATTTATTCATTCAGTGCACCATACAGAAATAAATTTAAAATGTATGAACGCATACTTAGGTTTGGTCCCGTTTTAAACTTCCCTAGTGAATTCATGAAAATAAAGGACTTGGTTTGCAGCACTCTCCAGATTCGCTTATTTTTAAAAATGTGAAAATAATTGAATAGTATTAAATAATGTAAAGTTACCAAAAGAAATGCAATTACACATTATTCAAAGGCACTTAGAACCAAATGTAAATAGCTATAAAAGGTCCAAAATATGGAAAAATAGACCTTACTTGCGTTAGCTAAACGCAGTAGAAATATAGTCATAAAATACCCTGAAAAATCGGTTTCCATTAACCGGGCTTTAATAACATGTAAATTATAACTAGAATTTTTTGAATTTGATACCTTTACTAAAATCTTAGTACATTTTTCTTCAGGTTGATTTTATTTTTGCTCATTCTGGAGGCGTGCAGCTTTAAAAGGCAACTGAGATAGAGTTATTGAAAGTATAACAGTTTCTACCTCCGATTTTTTGGGAAAAGAACAACATGTTGTTTTTTTTGTTGTTGTTGGGTTTAAGGGATTCTTTTTTTCTAACTCCAAACTTGTTTGCATTAGTTGTTGAAAACGTTTATTTCCCGAATACATGTTAACTAAAATAAAACAAAAGAGTGGAGATATATCTGGCTTTCACTTTCATTTAAGAAAAGTCTGTATTAACAATTTATATTTTTTTTTTATTTGTTTTATTTTAAATTCGGTTAATTAACTGTAATTTAAAGATGAAATAAAAATATCCAACTTGAAATATGAAGCAATAAGTATATTTTATACATTATCAACTATAAGTTGTCCATTCAACTATAAGTGGCTCATCAACTGTAAATGGTCCGTCAACTATAAGTGGTCCATAAACTATAAATGGTCCACCAACTATAATTTGGGTCAATAATTTATAAAAGTGGTTTCCATCAACTATTAAAGGATCATCAACTATAAATGATCCATCAACATAAGCGGTCCATCAACTATTAAGTGGTCCATCAACTATAAATGGTTCATCAACCTGATAAATGGTAACTTCAAAGTAAGTGATCCATCAACTATAAAATGGTCCATCAAATGGTTCAATCAACTATAAGTGGTCATCAACTTAAAGTAGTCCATCAACTAAAAGTGGTTCATTAACTATAAGTGGTCCCAGCAATTATAAATGGTCCATTAACTTTAAATTTCTGGTCCATCAACTATAAGTGATCCATCAACTATAAGTGGTTCATCAATGGTCCATCAACTATATAGTGGTTCAGCAACTATAAATTGTCCACAACTATATATTTGTCCATTTTCACTTATAAGTTGGTCCATCAACAATAAGTTGTCATTCAACTATAAGTTGTGGATTTTGAGAATCTTTTACATGATATATACCATTACTAGCAAATACAATGAAATGAAAATTCTGTTATGAAAAAAGGTCATAAAAAGGATCTACTGAGATATTCTATTTTTGTATGCAATAAAGTGTTTATTAGCAGAAAACATAAGATGTATTTATGTATTTGAAATTTTATTATTCGTTTATCTTCTGTCATCATATATAACGCAACTAGCACATTTATTTGATTGAAATAACGGGTCAATTAGATTTTTTTTTGCAGATACGAATATTATTACTTTAATATTATTAATCATCACAGCCAGATAGATTTACATGAAAAAGCTTTTTTAAAATGACCATTATCCGGGGTAGGTGGGTATATTCGCGCATTAATGAAGTCATCTCTGGCATTACGGTCATTCCCCGTAAACAATCCCAAACCCCTATCAAAATTGACTTTATTCTTCTAGCATGTATGTCTCAGGTTTGTTTCCACCGGTATTCAAATTAAAAAGTAAATGGTAAGTTTTTCCCAACCTGGAAAATCTTCATTTGTTCTTACTTTTCAGAAATTGAAATATACGAAGGGGCTTCAATATTTCGTTAGACTTATGTTCCTCATTTCAAAATAATTTTAATTAAAATGGTATCAATTTGAGGAGCGTTGTTCATTCCTTTCAATTTATAATGAAAATTCAAATTGAAAATTACCCAACTTTAAGACTGACAGCCATTTTCATAACCATGGTAACAGAGATTGTATTAAATGTAACCCAGACGCTTAACTTTAGATTTGACGATGCACGATAAACGTTAGAAATCGAAGCTAACGTCCAGTTGTCGGCGCTGACATCGGCGAAACCCTCATGGTGACCTGGGACGCTGACATTGGGCCTTGATGCGCCTTTTGTCATACCGTGGTTTTAAATTTTTCATGTTTAAGTGGACAAGTAATTGCACTTTCCGGTAATGTGATTTTTTAATGAAATTATGTTTGCCTAACAAAAATGTAAAAGCCAGTCTACGAATATAAGAACCCCCTCGTTATCCAATCCATTTGTTTCTCTTACTATCGTTATTCTTATGTATAGTAATTCCCAGTTTTAACTGGCAATGGATTTAAACTTATTTTTTATTTGGTTGGGGTTATAATAAAAATAACAATTTCATCAACATGGTAAAAGTCTATCTAGCTTTAATGGTAGATTGATACCTCAGGTGCACCTTCATGTCTTATTTTAGGAACAAGCCAGTACCACAGTAAAACCCAAGTACATCTTCGCTAGCTAGATAATTTCCTGGTTTCAAAGAATTCCAAATCTCTAACAGGATTTTGCAAAAAAACTGCAGTATTTGGTAATCTCGTGCTGTTGTGTTTTGTTTTGTTGTTGTTGTTGTTTTTGTTTTTTGTTTTTTTTTGTTAAATCAATGTTAGTTGTCAAAAATTCGTTTTAACAATATTTATGTTTAAATAAGGTTTTAACAATTGCCAAAATATTTAAAGTTCAAACTGTTAAATGCACTCTTGAGAAAAATGTTTTGTTGACAGTTAGATGTGGCGACTTTTATCCGATTTTACTTCATACGACCCCTTTTAGTCTTCCCAGGATTCGGCTGTGGATTCTGGACCGCATCAACTTACAGGAGCCGCTCTGGCCATTAAAACCATTTGTTACCCTTTTACCTTGCCTGTGCATAAAGTCCCAAGGACCAAATTTTTATTGTTCCCATAAATGTACTAAGGAAAAATCTGGGGAATTTAATTAAAACGGGATAGTTTAAATTTTAATTGTTTAAACATATACAAATTAATTTACTTATTCAAGTACTTCCGTAATTGCTAGGTAACGGAAAATAAACACTCGAAACCTGAAGAGGAAACGTAAATTGAGACACCCTTGACTTTCTTTGTTAACTACCATAGGTGGAGAGTCGGCAAATTGATCTGGCTTAAAATAATATTTAATTTTGTTTATTCGTGTAATATTATTAATCCAATATTTTAATTAAAAATTAAATAGATTTTAAAATTAAAATAGATTTTTTTTTTGTTATATTGTTTTTATATCGTTAGAATAATAACAAAAAATTATATTTTATTTTCTTTAGTATATGGATATTATATTACATGGAATAACAAAATTAAACATATTTTAGGTCAAATAAATGCGACTACCACCTTTGTTTACTACGTGATACATACTTAAAAATCATTCAAATTAGAAAATCGTATTTACTTAAGTAAAGAGCGCACCCAATAGTTGGGCGTATCGAAGTCAATAATGGGCTCAATGTAATTGATTTGATTGGTGTCCATCAGTGTGTCGTCCGTTGTTAGTAAGTTTTCCTTGTCAACGTGAGATTTTTATTCCTTTGCTAAGAAGGATTTATTTTTAAAGGCATGATCCTTTTTAAACCTTACTACGACAATAAATACATAAATGGTTCCGGTACGACAAGAGCTAATTATAGAAAGAAAACTTTATATGATTTATCCTTAATCGGTAAACAGATTTTGGTGAAAGTGAACAGGAATTATCATTTTTTAGTGGTAACTGCTTTAATTGTCCTGGTCTGCTGAACAAAATGGCTACTAGAGCTGAAAGTCTTATTTTTGAGGGGGAAAAAAAGAAACATTTTGGGGGAAAAAGGTAAATGGTCTATGGCGCTCTTCAGAGGGTGCACTGTACTTACTTTTAATTTCTAACAGGGAAGGTAACACATCTCTGTAATTTATCTTTAAAACCATTATATCCTTCTGCAGAATATTATATTATATTATATTAATTTCAATGTGTTATGCATTTAAGCTGAAATTCTCAAAGCTTTAATATTTAACATCTATCCTTGCTAAAGTCAGCGGGTGGGCGGGCGAGCGAGCGGAAAGGCGAACGGGCAGGTGGGCGAACAGTTTCCGCTCAATAACTTGAGTTTGCTTAGGCCTATTGACGCCAAACTTTATATATGGGAAGCTGATATCAAGAGGCAGCATGGGATGGCTTCCTAGATGTCTGTGATCAAGGCTAAAGGTCTCTAATGCTAAATATAGAAATTCAGTCTCGACGTAATTTCTTCAGTTTACTTTGGCCTATTGACAACAAACTAGATGTGGTGGGTAGCTTATATCAAGACGCTACTCCTGATTGCTACCCAGGTCTGTGATCAAGATCAGTGCCAATGTTGCTAAAATAGAAATTTAGTCTCATAAGTATTAATTAGTAGCTTATATCAAGACGCACCCTTTGGAGATTGCTACCCAAGTGTCTGTAAACAAGGTCAAGGTCACTGTTGCTGAAAAAAGGAAATTTAGTATTCTCATAATAACTTGAGTTTGCTTTTACCTATTGACAACAAACTTTCTGTGTGGGTAGCTTATTTGAAATTGCTACTTTGGGAGCAAGGCCAAGGTCACTTTGTTAAAATAGAACTTTCAGCTTCTGCGCAATAACTTCAGTACACGTTGACCTTTTGATACTTGGTGGCTGAAATCCTGGTTACGTCGCATTGCTGCGCTTCTTGTGTCTTAAATTATTTTCTCCTCTATAAAATTTCATGCCCAGAGTATAGTTTTTTTTTTAAATACTTTTGTGGTCGTCTATACAAGTTTAATAAATCATGACCAAGGAGTCAAATTGACCCTTCCCTGAGGGTAACTTAGTCTATTATATATGTAGGAAAACCGGTCTGTTTGTGTGAAACTGTTATGTCAAGACCAAAGGACCTAAGGTATCTTACAAAATGTGAATTAAGTAAAACATAGAAATGATCATACCTATAAAAATACATAAATATAAAAAAGTAAACCAAATGACTCTCATAGAAGCACCCAGTGTTTAAAATGAAGACAAAACAGCGAGAATATCGCATACAAAGGCCCGCCTAAGCATGCGATATGTCTTGGAATAGTCGGGTAATAACCTCTTTTAGTTAATTGTGTAATAAATTTACAATAAACATAAAAAAATAATCATGATCCGAGATCTTATGAAGTTAGTGCATCATAGAAATCAGGCTTGCAAATCCCGAGCTTTAGAACAGTTTTCAAATCGCTAATGAATTTTGAAATAGAATTGAAATTACATTTATAAATAAAATTTAGTAAAATATTTCTGTAATTTATGATAACGGTAGCCGTGTTTGAGAAGCTTGAAAATATTCCGTTTGTTAAAATCGTTTTACATGGTAACAAGCCATAGCAGATCTTATCAACTGGGAATCATATATCGCGTAAGATGTTGCATTGGGTACATTTCCATCTTATCTTTACCAAAATCTTATCATAGATTTTAGTTTAACTTATATTTTCAGGAAAAAACCGGATATTACTGCATTTTAGTACACGAGACAGAATTGAATATATACAGAAAGAACACGATTTTTGACTTTTTTTGATAAACAAATAAAATATATTCGATTGAACAAACTTGTTATAAAAACATCAGATACATGTTTAATAGGTACTTTCTGTAGTTAAAAGTTGTCCGTTTATTATTTATCATTTGGTTTCTGAACAGAACTTAATTCTGCTGAAAATTCTTCATGAAACAGTTCGTCAAAGAATTCACATTGATGTGTCAGGATCTGTTGTTTAGAGGTGTTGAATAATAAATATACACTTAAAAATGGGAATGTCACTCCAAAGAAGTAATTACACTAACGAACTGCCTTTTAATATCACTTCTTCAAACATTTAAAAAATGCCATTGTGTAGTTTTAAATACCTATGAGACAGTGGCTTGAAATTCGCACGTTTGTATTTTTTTAATTTATTAAAATCACATTATTACTATACAGATATGAAAATAAGTCTTCTAATCTAATGACATCAAATATACACAATCCTTACTTACACATTTTCACCGTTTCAGTAGTATTTCTCTATGTATTTTTCTTCTCTCAAATAATAATCATGCTTCAGAAAAAAGCTTTAAAGACGTGAACTTCACATGATAGATTTTTTAAAGAATGTGAATCATGGTCTTATTTCTAGTATTTGACCCTGAAAGTGTTCACTAGTTTCATAATTCCGTCTTTTTCTATATTAAAAAAATGACGAAACTTGGACAACGTCTTTAAAATATTGACGGAAAATGACTGAGATGACGTTTGGCAAGGATGTGTTCATTGATGTTGCTTAATTGACGACGATTTGTCAATTAATATGAAACACGAAATCCAGTAAAACTTGAAAATTCGTACATGTGGTCTTGTCCAATGCAACCCGATAGGATAACAATATCTCTTGCCTTTAAACGATAAACAAGTGATGATGATCCTGACTGATATCCAATTTTGAGATCAGTACCACTGTTCACTGCTAACTGGTCAACTCCGTTGACAGAAATTTTACATTCGCTTTGGCGAAAACCTGGGCTTCTGAAAAGAGTTGATGTGAAGAAGTAGAGTCCTGGATGTCTACAAGTGAACACACCTGTGGACACATTATAGTCGTCGCCTGTATTGTATATAACGGTTTTGAACTTAAGGGGATCATCGCAGGACTTATCTGGGTGTTTTACTGCAAATCCGACAGACACGTCTGAAAAATGATATTGAAAATTTATAACAAGTCATTTTTACACAATTTCATTTTTGTTGTTGTTGTTATTTCTTCTTTTTTAATGTAAAAAGTCACCCTTATCTTCCCAAAATAATGTCTGCAATACAAGATCAAAATATCTGATAACCACCTCTTTCCTTTTTATTAGCGTGCAACCGTGCTAGTTATACACCCATTTATTTTATAGAAAGGGCCTTTTGTTTTTTTATATATAATATTGATGCAACTGATAGTAAAGAGCTAATTTATGTAATTGTTGAAGTTAGAATATTAATTGATACATATAAGGAGCAGTGTACTTACTTGCTGCATTTAATCTGTTCGTCAAAATTTGGAGAAATTCGGTCTGAATCTGTCCCTGTGCGTGTTCAAGCTTATCATCAAATTTTTGGCTAAGAGTTGTCCCCATATTCTGCAGAACCTCTCCTAAATAGTAAACGTCTTACAAAAGTAATAAAAAAAATCAAAGTAGTCAATCTGTTCTGGTTCCAAAAGTATTTAATCTCAAGATGTGTAAAGTTGGTGGCCTAGCGGCCCAGCGTGGTGAAGTTGACGGTCTGGCGGCGTGAAAGATGGTGCCAAGCGGCCAGGCGGCGTGAAGTTGGCGGCCCAGTGGCCTAGCGCTGTGAAGTTGGCGGCCTAGCGGTCCAGCGGCCTGACGGCCAAAATTTGAATATTTTTGAAATGTTAAATAAATAAGAAAACGGTATTTAATTGATACATATAAAGAGCAGTTTACTTACTTGTTTCACTTAATCTGTTTGTCAAATTTTGGAGAACTTCTGTCTGAATTTGTCCCTGTGCGTGTTTAAGCTCATCGATTTTTTGACTTTGCGTTGTCACCAGTTTCTGCAGCTCCGCTGATAAAGAGTAAACGGTTTACAAAACGAATAAAAGATCAATGTAGTGAGCCTGTCCTGGTTCCAAAAGTATTTAATCTAAAGATGTGTGAAAATGGTTACCTAGCGGCTCAGTGGCCAAGCGACGTGAAGTTGGCGGCCTAGCGGTGTGAAGTTGGCGGCCTAGCGGTCCAGCGGCCTGACGGCCGAAAATTTGAATGTTTTTGAAATGTTATATAAACAAGGAAACGGCATTTAATTGATACATATAAAGAGCAGTGTACTTACTTGTTTCATTTAATCTGTTCGTATTTTGGAGAATTTCTGTCTGAATCTGCCCCTGTGTGTGTTCAAGCTTATCAATTTTTTGACTTAGAGAAGTCACTAGTTTCTGCAGATCCCCTGCTAAAGAGTAAACGGTTTACAAAAGTAATAAAAAGCAATGTAGTCAACCTGTTCTGGTTTCAAAAGTATCTAATTTAAGCGTTTTTTCTCATAAAGACTACAATAGTGATAAATCTCTAGATGAGTTAACAGAAATATCGGAGAAAGCTAGTTCAGAATATTTCAAAATAATGTATCAATTTATATTTAACTTCGGAACACTTCGCCTATTATTCCTTATTTGAGTTTATCCAGAGACTGACGGAAATTGCCGATATGTTTCTATTGTTCGCAGATACAATTCGTCCAATCAGAAGTTCTTACTTTTGAAAAAATTCAACAAATCACCAGATGCAAAAAGACATCTCGCATGTTTCTTTTTAAAGACGCAAATTGTTATGCTCATTATCAGTATAATGACGTTCTACAAACGTAGTTACATATTTTCCCCTACGAAATGTTTCGTGCCGAGACATGGTACGGCAACTCCAGTCCGGAAGTTGTCAACATCATCCCACCGCTACAACCAAATGTATCGGTTTAAGGCACAAAATCCCTGTCTGTTAAAACCTAGCTCACCACCAAGAGTGGTTTGTGTCCTTATATATTGGAAACGTTCCCTTATGTAAATTTACCAACTTTAGTTTTTGCATATTATTATGCTCATTATCAGTATTATGACGTTCTACCAATGTCGTTACAAATGTAGCAATGTAGGCAAAGTAATATTTTGACTTCCATACAAAATACTTATTCTACAAATTGCCAATTGAGCAAAAGTTGCAGTCACGAGTTCATGAATATGGCTATTAAGATTTTAAAAAAACTGTGATAAGTTACAAAAAAAAACAGTTTTTGTAAAAATTGATAGCGTTTCTGAGGCATAGTGGGCCTTTAAGTATTTATAAAAAACATATAACGTATGAATACGACGGCAAGAATGTTTTTTTACAAATTGGACATGATGATGATGATGAAAATGACGATGATTGACCTATGTTAAAATGTACAATGTTAATATTGCTCAATTAATGTTTGTAATATATGTTACAAGAAAGCATGTGCCAAAATATATATTTCATACTTTTAAATCATCAGAAGTATGGGGCGCTTTATGCGTCAAAATAGAGCATCGTGATATATGCAACCCCTCCCCCCCCCTTTGTTGGGAGCTATATCCATTGCAATTCTGACCAGGTGCCGAAGATTAAAGCTCTTTGTAATTATTTATTAGTTTAGATCTATATGTGGCATAACATAGCTTATATAATCCGATTTCTTGACCATTTATATTTATTTAACGCCAATGTTTCACATGAAATTATCAATTTATTTATCATATTCACACAATTAAATAATCATTTTTACAGTTAGAAAACATTGCATAAGGCGACTTACCAGAGCACTCTCTGTTTTGACACTGAACTGTTTCTGTACCATTACCATTACAGTCAAAGCCATTATCTTTCGGCGAAACGCTTGTGCATGTTCGAATCCTCCGTTTGAATCCTTGTCCACATTTGGCGTTACAAGGCGACCAGTCTGACCAGTTTGTCCAAATACCAGTTACCGTTGTCCCTTCAAAAATTAAATCCATCACTTTTGCTTGCGGAACATAAAATTATGTTGTTCTTAAAAGCGAATTAACTGTCTTTTGAGGGGGCCTCCATGTTCGAGTGGTTAAGATTGTCGACTTCAAATCACTTGCCCCGTGCCGCTGCTCATTTTCATGAATTAGTTTGTGTAAATGCGGTTTTAATTATATTTTGACCTTTTGATCCAAATGACATTATTGAAAAAGAATAAATCAGCCAAAGAAATCAGAATCATTTGATAAATTATATTTATAGCTGTCTCAGCAAAGTTTCAAGAACCGATACAATAGCAGCTTTCGGTCATTTCCGTCAACATCCGGTAAATATGAGTAAAGTTATAATATTGGGGTCCAAATTTTAAACAATACAAAAGAAAAAACAATAAGTACGTAATATATTTTCCTGGTGTTTCTTATTATTAAGCCATAAACAAACAAAAAGTAAAGATTATGTTTTTATTTGTTTAAATTGAGGATATTTGTCTAGTTCGGTGTAAGATCGGAATATATTTCACCGAGTGAGCACCAAAAGGTATATTTAACGAGTGGCGCAGCCACGAGTGAAATATGAACTTTTGGTGTTCACAAGGTGAAATATATTTCGATCTTACACTAAACTAAACAAATTTTCTTTTTATTATATGCAAAGAATTGTTTTAAAAAGACATTAAACCTAATACTGAATGAAAAGCGCGCCAAATAATAATACAACTTGACGTCATGAACGACGTCACGTCATTAAGTTGGTACCCAGTTCTGTGCACGCTGGTATTTCACTGAAACGACGTAAGGGGCTTAAATTCAAAACAGTGAAATTATCAAAGTGGTAATTTCACTGTTTCAAACAGTCAAATTACCAATTTTATATCACTGATATATTTCTATAAACCACCGAAAAGCATGTAATAAGATAGCTGTTATCATCCAACAGACTTGCAGCAAGCTCGTAAAGAAAATCTTTAGTACTGACCTTTAATATTTGAAGCCTTTGAAACGTTTATACTCATGTATAAAGAAACAGATACTGCAATAATCAACAGTCCAATTAAAATTGAATTTACGAGGGTACACCATAACAAAAGTGGTATACACTTCTTGGCTGAAGGTGTAGTTTTATCTGCAAGCTCCCCTGTACCATGTTGAAGAGTTTCGTAAATTCTGTCTTGTTCAGTCCTATTATCTCCCGACGCAAGCTCAGTATAAATTTCTTTTTTTGTGTCTGATTCCTCGTAATGATTGTTTAACTCCATAACTACATCCAAATTATCAAAATATTCCCGGTTTTTATTAGAATTAAATCAAATCAAATTTATTCAATCATTACTCCATACAGGATACATTTAAAATGTC